TTACAAGCATATGTGCAAAAAATACACAAGAGTCGCTTACGGTCAAAGGAACAGTAAGGATATTCATAGTCCGTTCTTATATTTAAGATTATCTTAAGTTATACTCTTAATGTGTTTTCAACCAATCACAGAGCCGTATTAGCGTCTTAAGACAACACTTAAGATGATTTTGAAATAAGAATCGACTATGAATACCGGCCTGAGAATATTAAATGCAAAGTAAATTTTTTAAATATTGTACACGAACTGTGTGAACTGAGATATGATAAATTAGTTTTTTTTAAATTCGCGTAATGCAAAACCCGTTGGTATTAAAAATACCAACGCGTTAGTACTTTTATTCGCGAGAAGTCAACATTTTTTTCAAAAATCTAAATCCTAAAACATTACTAGACGCATATAATTCCGATATTTATCATAAACTTTGCCGCGTCACGCATTATACATAGGTAATCGAATAGTTTTCTTTCGTAAATCTCCGCGCTTTATGTGTGAAATATCCCTTTGAAGCTAACATTTTTCCTTTCAGCCGAGTTTTCTCGAAGCTTAATACTTAAGGGTTTTCTGGGTCGCTGATTATTACGAATCTAGTATCAGAATTACAAAATTCAAATGCAGATTTTCAGGCGCCACGTTGGATCCGATATTAAGAATTTTGTAAATCTGATCTCATATGTGTAATCAGCAACCTGAAAAACTTCCGAGTTCCAGATAGATCGACTGCAGTTTTTATATTTTTGACTCTTTATATTGGATCCGCCATCTTGGATTTTTAAATTTTCACATGTTGACTTCAGATTAGAAATCAGTGATCTCGAAAGCTTATAGTTTCGGAATGTCGTTTAGAGGGAGATTTTTTTGACTACGGAATATCTTAGCGGAAAGAATTCTCTTTTAAAATTTATCTCGAAACTCATGGAATCGTGTAACAACACGGCATTTCGAAGACTTTTATGAGATTTTACTAGTAAAGTGTATGGTAAACTTTCACAAAACTCTGATAAAGTTCTTCAAAATGCTATGTTGTCCCACAATCACATGATTTTCAGGATAAATTTTAAGAGAAAATGCTCTCCGTGTAGGAAACAAATTTTTTAAATTAAAACTTTAACTTTGAGCTGCTATATTGAGTCAATCGTCGATAATTTGGGAATTTCGACTTCAGATTCAGAATTAGCATATCGAAAACTTTCTAGACATGAAATAGTAAAGATATCGGAGTGAAAGAAGTGTTGGTTTTTTCCATTTCGTAAGATGTAACATATATGTTTCACCGTGCTTCAAAGAGATACACATATAACAGGGTGTTCCAGGAGGAAAGCTCAACATTCTGGGAGGTGATTTCGGTAGGTGAGTATCGATAATTTGAGACAAAAATGTTCATATGAATATACAGGGTGTCCAGTAAACTCAACGAAAAAAATTCCTTGACTTTTTCAGGTTTTCCAGGAGCAGGAATTAATTTTTCCCTGACCGTTTAGTGTAACTTTTTTCAAGATGCATAATTTGCGTACATCGGACCACTTGTGATACCGTACGTAATCATATATGATGCTTTCGTTTTGCTTAACTGCATTTTGTCTCAGTTGAACACATTGAAATTATAATAACACGACGATGAAACTATAAATTACCGGCCACGCTTATAAATAAATTGATGTTTAGCAAAACAGAAAATTAGTGTACCGAGAGAGCCAAAGAAAAGTTTATTTTCTAAAAACTTTAAATTATTCAGAAAAAAATGTGAAACGATGTAAAAAAAATCCAGATAAATCGTAAAATTTCGCGACTTTTCCCTGACATTTCCATATTTCTAAAATTTCCTGACAATTTCCGGGTGTTCCAGATTTCCCTGACCACTGGATAGCCTGATATGGGTCCCATTCCCCATTGTTTCCGAGATACCACGACTTGAGTGTATCGTGTGTGTACTTTTTTTTTCTCTACACTCTATTCTTCACCCAACCACAAAACGTCTACAGGAATTTACTCTTAAAAGTCAGTTGGCTGTTGTGCTGATAACATTGTGGAAACGTTGAAAAGGCCCTGCATATGCACAACCGCGGTAGTGCTAGTGCTGCTGTTAAAGAATACCGTCGACGCTTTTCTACAGGTAAAATTCACAATCGTAAAGTCCCAGAGAACATTATGTCATCTTAAAGACATCTTAAAGACGTCTTAGAATTGTTCAAGACGTCTTTAAGACGTCTTTAAGACGACATAATGTTCTCTGGATATTTTATATTTTTATAAGACGTCATAAAGACATCTTTTTGACAATGTCTTAAGATTCTTTTTTCTGACGTTTTATAGACGTCTTTTAGTAAAGTCTTAAGCGGGGAGCACACACTTTTGCATAAGTGCATAAGCTTATACATAACGAATTTGATTGGTCTATAAGCAAGTGCATAAGGAAATGGACCAATCAAATTCGTTACGCATATGCTTATGCACTTATGCAAAAGTGTGTGCTCCCCGCTTTAAAGATGTCTCTTTAACGACGTCTTTAAGACGTCGTTTAGACATGCATGTTGTCTGGGCGTGGTTTCCAAGGTTTTCAATACATTGCGTGAAAGTGAAACGCTTCCCACCGATCATGTTTTATATAAACGAGGACGCCAACAAAATTGCTCTATCTCGGAAACAGTGGGGAATGGGACATATATTCATATGAGCATTTTTGCTTAAAATGACTGGTACTATCACTCCCAGAATATTGACCTTTTTCTCTTGGAACGCCCTGTATATACACCGAGCAGTCATCAAATGTAATCTCCAACGAGTCACGGACACCCATAAGCAGATACAAATCTCTTCGTGACTCTCCCTTCCTCCTTTTTTTCCTTCTTTCCTTCCTTCCTTCCGCCCTTCCGTTCTTCGGTTTTCATGCCCACGCGAGGCCGATAAACAAAGAGCCGATACCACGTGCGTTCACATTATCTATTGAAAGCAACAAAATTCTACGTATCCTTATCACTGTACACCGAGTTCCATTTCTCGAAAAGAAATTATCCGATAGATTTCGGCGAAAGCTTCATTCGAAATAGGCACAATCCGGTTACAATTGCGTGAAAAATGATGGCCAGCTTGCTTTTGTAAAAATGAGGAATGCACTTCTCGCCGGTTATAACGCCTGCCGACCCCACGTGCGAGGTGAACAATGAATCCTAAATGCCGTTGCGGCGTATTATCTTCGGCGACAAAACACCTCCTGCGAGACTAATCGCATTGTCGTCACCATGATCCGCCCAGTTTGCCCGTCCGTCTGGCCAGGAAAGTAAGGCGATTCTACGTCGTTAGGAAAATTGTTAGACTACGCGTCATTCTGCACTTCGGAAGCGACGGTAGCTGGGGGATTGTTATCGCGGGCCATTTAAGTATCACGATATCGGTCCTTTACTGGCGCAAAATACTTTAACGTCGCGCGAGTTTGAAATGTCAATGAAATTCTTCGTGCCAACCTTCCGCTCAGTTCTTGTTGCATTGTTCACCAAAACTTTTATGTAAAAAAAACTCTTAACGAGATTTATCGGTTGGAAAATTTACCAATAATTGTTTAACGAGTGATAGAAATAAACAAGAGCAAGGGGAGAATACGTGTAGTCTCCAATTATTTTTATATTTCCAAAGTGACTTTTTCATAATAATATTCTGAAATATTCCCGAAGGTGTAATCGGAAATATTATAAAAGTTTCTCTTCCTTTCACGATTCTTAATAAACCACCCTTGTTAATAACCGTACAATGTACTCGTCTTCGCTCATAATCTCGTTAGATACAGTTTTCCTAAAAATAGCAGGTACCTGCATTTATCAGCTTTCCTAAACATAAGTACCAGACAGATATTGCTATCTGAAATACGACCACGAAATGAAAAACGACTCGGTAACTTGTAAAAAGCCCCCCCCCCCCCCCCCCCCCGAGATCGCCGCGACCATGAGTCGACCAAAAGAAACATTTTAAGTGTTCGTACTAAGTAGGTAGTAACAAGGTGACCTCGAAGTAACCGGCCACACAAAAGTGCAAACTATTTCGCGGCGGTTTTCAAAGGGAAAAGGGCTTTCTCCGAAAATAAAGGGAGTGTTTCCAATCTCGAGGATCTGTCGTGCCGCCAGGCAACTTTCCGAGGGAGGACATCTTGCCACGTATACGGCTCGCGCGCTCCTCGCCAAATCGGCCGGGATAAGGGATGGTGCCCTCGTATTACGTATTTTGCAGAATCCCCGCGGCGGGGATCCATTGTTCCCCGAGGATATCGCGACGCGACGGCCTCGAGAGCGCCGGCGTGGCGCCCGGCCTCGGGTCCTCCGGTTGCAGACAGTGGGGCGGGGAGTGGTCGCAGCGGCGACGAGATACTTTCCTCGACGCCCTCTTCTTCGTCTCGGCGCCCGTGAGAGGTGCGTCGAGGAGACGAAGAAGAGGGCGTCGAGAAAAGTATCTCGTCTCGCTTGTTCAATTGAAGCCACGGGCGCCACTCAGGCGCGCCCGGACGCGCGCGGCAACGTGAATAATTGTATTGTTTTAACTGAACCTTCGTATCCGCAATCGTGGTCTTGCCGATCGTCTACTATCGAGATCCATCTCTCCCAAATTCAATCAGTGCCCCATCACGGAAAGCAGTTACAAGTATACAGCGCTGGAAAATTCGGCCAGTGAACGCTCACTGTTTTTCAGTGATAATTCGCCGATTGATTTTTAGAGAGATCGTATTAAATTGTGCAATTCTTTGTTTTGTCCACTGGGAGTATTGCGGAAGGAATTAATACGATTCCTCGGGCCGCAACAGATCTGTCTTTACGTCAGTTTATCGTTCGACTCCGTTCGCGAAAGCGTTTCAGCGGCGACTATGTTTTGTATTGCAATTGTTTCATTTATTCTCAGCCGTCGAGCATTGTTCAATCTGGAGGCGAGGAGGGGGGGGGTTTGTGAATAATACGAGAGGAGAAAAGTGAGAACTTCGATACCTGCTTTGAAAAAAGAATAATGCGCGGGGTACTCACCGGCCGGACTTCGTGATGATCATCTCTGTATTTAACGCGTGGAACTTCTCCCATAGATTTCGATTAAGCAGATCCGCGCTGACACCGGTCAACATCGACGGTTGATACGACCACCATTCATTTGAATCCATCGTGTTTTCTGCAACATAACAGTGCAATTTGAACGATTAGTCAACGGACAAAAAATTAAGTTATACGAAATGTTTTGCTATTAACTCGTCGCACCTCGAGAGTTATTCAGCGTCGAAGACAAATGTCGATCTTGTTTTCGATTTACTGATATATTCTCGCGGTTCGGTAGCGATAAATTGCACGTTGATTGTGTATGAATATCAGCTCAGGCTGCTAAGCCTCGTTGGGCGTTGATATTTTATAGGAATTCGTTTTCTGATAGGAATCGACCGAGGGGAAAACCGCAGAGGGCATTGTGGTGTACAGATTTGTGGCATTACTGGGCATTACTAGGCATTGCTAGGCATTTTCGAGGCATTACAATAGAATTTTGCTGGGGCATTAAAGAGATAAAATTAGATAAGATAAGATAAATATATGATAACGGAAAAATGTATTATGGGTAAAGATAATATAGGATAAAAAATATATTATAGATAATAGAGAGGGAATATATTATATATTGTATAAATAATGACAAAACGCAACGTGTTCTTAATTTTCCATCGAACGCTTAAAATAAGACGTGTAAACACACGCGCCCTCCAAGCTAGATCTTAGACGGAGCCGGAAAAGGAGAGAGCGCGGAATGACGACAATAATATACCTAAATATTAAGATTGAGTTCGTTTCAGGCTAACGATGACTGTCCATCGTGTAACCTATCACGCGACACGAATCATCAATAGCGCGCAGCGGGCATCATCTTCTGAAGAAGCGACGGGGTCTATCTGGGGGATGGAATTGGAAAAATTGGCGTGGCTGAGGTAACACAAAAAATGGAACAGCGGGGCCTACCCTTTACAATATTACCCATCGCCACTTGTCACGTAGCATTGTGCACAAACCCGGCATCCATACACCCGGATAAAAAGGCACGGTAGGCAGATAATGGATCCCGCCTGGCCGAAAGATCGGCAACCTTTCATCTGTCGCCAAATAATCGGAGGAAAATGTGGCGAGCATTTCACGGGATATTTAACAATCGGCCCGGTTGACCGGAGGGAACACCGGGGTCTCCTCATTACGGACGCAAATCAACTCGTTTAGTGATCTCTTCTTCCAAGGATACCGCAAACGGGGATGATTTTCAAGTTTTCGCGCGCAACGGCGGACACAGAACGCGCGTTACGAGACGCTTCACGAAACGTCGCTTCCCCCGCGAAACGATTCCCTTGAAAATTCGCTAGAATTTGATCGCCGCGCCAAGGACTTTCGGAACTAAAACGATACAATTGTTCCAATAATGACAGCGTGTCCGAATTAATGTTTGAAAGAGAAAATGGAGAACGAGTAAAGATGAAACGCAGAATCGAGTGGGAGCACTGCAAATCCACGTGTACTATTTTTCTACACATATATGTGTAATCTGGTGAAGACCGAGGGGGAAGAGGCTGACCAAAATCTTGTGCACCAATGCCCACTAATGCCCAGTGGACGTCACTTTATCTTATTATTTTATTTTATCTTTATAATGCCCGGTAAGTGCCCATCTACAATAGATGATTTAAGCCTTAAGAAATTGACTAATCACAGTCGCGTATTCTACTCATACTTGACCGCGATTGGTCAATTTCTTAAGGCTTAGGGCTTAAATCATCTATTGTAGACTGGGACTAATGCCGCAAATCTGTACACCACAATGGCCTAAGCGGTGTCCCCCTCAGTGAAGACACTTTTCGCACACTTCTTGCCGCTTGAAATCGCGACGTAGGTGACTTGACCATAGACTTATATACCAGATCAAAAGAGTCATGATCTCTGTCTCGCTCAGCGTTAAGAGTGGGAAGAAGACGAACAAGTTAGACAGAGCTACGGTGACTCAGTTCGGCTCTTCCTCTCTTTCTGTATCTTACGACCGACGCCTCTTACGGATGGCGCAGTCTAGTACGTAAGTCTAGACTTGACACTTCGTTTTGAACGACCAGAAAAATTTTAACGGCAAGAAGCGTGTGAAAAGTGCCTCCACCAAATTAGACATAAACGTGGAGGAACGTCCTCTATTATGACAGGAGTCTAATACGAGATAGCAGCTTTTCAACGTCCAAATTCAATCACAAATCTCTTTTCGCGATTGCACGATCTAACAAATCAATTTTCCACTAAACAGATTTCACCCCAAGGGCAATGAATTCATGGCGGGACCAACAGACGGCGTCTACTAATTTAGCAGAAACTCCGCTATCTCGTAATAGGGGACTTTCCTCTATTGCGTGTAAAAGTAACACACTGGGATTTAGCGTGAGATTATTAATCGCGAATTACATTTCAGAAGCTTTTACACGTCACGTACGATCGGATTCAACAAGTCTACGTCAAATTAAAAATTCACCGCCTCTCAATCGTCGCGCTAAGGAAACATTCGGAGTTAAAACCAACGTTGCCCCAATGTCACGGCTGCAAAGTGAACCTAATTTTGAAAAAGAAGAGAGGCATCGAAGATTAGAGACCGAATCAAGTGGGGGATTTGGCAAAGTTTATGTCGGCGAAACTTTTTTGCACGTCACATCGGAACCACACGATTGGGATGAAGAGTTTCGATAAAATGCCACGTACCGTTGACGAACATTCAAAATCCCGCACTGTAAACACAAACCGCTAACCTTCGCCAGTTGTCTCCCACGACACCTTGGCCTGTGTTTTGCCGAACCTCTGCTTACCCTAAGCGCACGTAAGCGGCGAGCTTACAGATACTTAGCTGGACAGAAGCGCTGAGGCTGAGTTTGAAACCGCTACCAAACGAGCGACCGCTCGGCTGGCGGAAGTTCGGCAAAACGCAGCCCTTGATTCGATTAAGAAACGGGAACGAAACGGAGATAACAAAACGCACGCTAAGAATCACTGACGCGCTCCCGCGCGAATTCGCGCACGTCTCAACACGCTTACACATTTTGCACACGCGTGCACGGCAAATGTACATGTGTTTTACATGTGCCCAGAGGGTGACATTCTGTATCTTACGCAATGGTGAAAATGCTAAAAGTGAACGGCTTTATTTCTTTCGAACAGTTAGAAAGAGACGGAGCTACGCGCTTTTAGCACTTTCACTGTAGCGCAAGACACAGAATTGACCCTCGGATTCATATGGAACGCACCGGAGTGATTCCTAGGGCACATACCTAGTTCTCGTTGCGTGACAGCCGGTGGTTGCTGGAGAAGCGGCGATGTCGGACGCAGCCTCCGGTCCAGTGGCATCGGTGTGCACTGTTTGACTAGAGAGGGCACATTTTCGAGGATCGGAGCGTTTTCCCCACCCTCGGTCGATCGCCGGTGCGCCCTGGACGAACGTTGAAATCACATGCTGGAAAAGGAACTGCGGCCCGACCGGTTGCTCGTTGCCGCAAACGACGTCCACTGCGCCGCTGATCACCGGATCTCGCGCGTTCGTTGGTCGAGCGTGCCCGGCTACGGGCATCCTCGCACCGCCTACGCGCACTTGATTGGCTGCGGTTTCACCACGTCGGGGGCAGCCCATAAAGTCGCCCCAAAGTCGTGCGTGCGCGACATTTACACGTTCCGTCGCAGGCGACAAACATAACGCTCTGACTATGCGAAATAAAGAAGGAAGGACGGCGAAAGAGAAGAAGAGAGAGAGGGGGGGGGGGTGATAAAGGGAGAGATAAAGGAAGAAAGTAAGAATACGTGAGCCACAGATAAGATTTTCTTAATCTCCAAGCCGTCGCCTCTAATGGCCGCCTGTAAGGTCGCCGAAAATGGTTAGTTTATTTAAATTTTTTTACCTTCTTTCATTTGTAACGTCGTCTTAAATTCTCAGACGTACAAATACCCGTTAAAAGACACTCGAACGTTTAAATATTCAAATATTCAGATATTTTATAATTCTTCTTTCTCAATGTTCTAAACACGATTTTCAATGTTGTACGAATATCGTTGCGCACTAATTAGCTGAGAATTTTCTTGTGTTCTCGCAAAGATAAAACGCTGAAATTTAAAAATATATGTATGTATGTATAAATAGCATGTATATGTAATACCAAGGTTGGGAAGTAACTCGTTACTTGTAACGAAGCTACAGTTACAGTTACTTTTCTTTTGGGTAACTCTAGCTTAACTTCGTTACATTCTCTCCGTCTGTAGCTGTAACTTAACTCGGTTACACTTTTTCGATAACTAGTAACTAATTTAATAGTTACATCAATAGTTACTGTAAGTTACATAAGTAACTGCAAACAGCAACGATTCGTTACTTTTTGAGTAGCTGTAACTGTGACGCGTTACTTTTCAGAATTGGTAACTCGTAACTGCAACTAGTTACATTTTTAGCAAACAAACTGTAACTCGATACTTTTATAAAGTAACTTTCCCAACTCTGTGTATAATACATACATGTAACATACATTACGTATATCTAAGTTTTTATAAATTTAACATATTGCACACATATTTCTTGATGAATATACTTGTATGCACAGATAATCGCAATTCAAAATCCCGCACTGTATACACAAACCGCTAACGTTCGCTGGCAGTCCACGTTATCTGGATTCGATTGTAAGAAACGGAACGAAACGGAAAACTCTTTTCGAGAAGGACAGTGTAGCAGTAAATAGAACATAAAAATAGTAATTTTAATTTCCATCAAGAATTTAGTCCGAGCATATTACTGACATTAGTAGTATTGTTGATGCTGTTTGTTAGCTTCACTTTAGTAAATTTAATTGGCTTGTCCATCCAGTGGTTCCCTTTTGATGGACTGTCGGGATGCATGTACATTCTTCGGTAGAACGGAAGCTGTGGTTCTGCCGAGCCCGAAGCACTCCAACCTCCACACATATTGCCGGTCTTGGATACTGTTATCGTACCCGCAATATTTATGTCTGCGATCGGAGGCCGGTGCAATCTCCTAGAAGACATAATAATTGTTCCGCTCTTGCAAACCTTTTACATTAATTTCAATTGACGGGAACATGCACCTGTAGAAGAACAAAGGCTCCTAAATCGTCGTCGTCACGTGCCGTTGACGAAAATTCCAAATCCCGCACTGTAGACACGAAGCGCTAACGTTCGCCGATTGTCCCCGTCACCTTGATTCGATTGTAAGAAGCGGAACGAAACGGATTCGGAAATGACAACGTACATACATACCTACACTGATAAAAAAACATCTTGATCCAAAAAAGTATTACTTTACTCAAGAACATTATTCATTAGGTGGCTCCTAATAGCTTATTAACTAAATTTAAAAAATAAATTAAAACATGCATTGCTTTAATTTATCAAAGAATAGATCATTTTTCATTAAGAGACTTTCATTTTAATTCTATAAAATGTCTACTAAGATGTAATTTTTACAGCGAAGGAGATTGGGTTTCTTATTTAACAAAAACAATTATTTTATTTAATAAACAGTATTCTATATCTCATGAAATTTTTATTTGAATGTAGAAAATCTAATGATTTAAATTATTTTACTTAATATAATACATAGATTTACAAGATATTTGATATTTTTCCTTAAATAGAATAAATATTTACTTCAGTAAAAAAACAATTTTAAGTAAATCTATTTACTTAGTTAAAAAAATTGTTTTTGTCAGTGTAGCTCGCGTCGCAAAACTATCGGTTGCACGAAGGAGCGACGACGTCGGGTGCAGCATCAGTACTGTTTGACTAGTGAGATCAGATTTCCGAGGATCGACGTTTTAAAAGAAAATTCACAACGCGAAATTCTGTTTAATATAGAACGACAGTGCCATCAGCAGGCGTTAATTCCATGCGTTCCACGACGACTGTACGCCGTCGCTAAAAATTGACAAATGCGTCAAATGACTGCATCAAGATCGTTATCGCCATTTCCACCGACGCTGCACGGATTTACATTGCGTGTTGCCGCAGGCCTCGTCGTACAGTTCCGTTATTGGCACTGTGCATGAGACGAACACGAAATTGTCACCATAGATTACAGAATCCGGCCGGCAAACGAGCGTGTGTTTGCTCTCGCGTCGAGACAATGAGGAAAGATTGTTCATAGGTTTTCACATAAGAATATCTATACGTGTTCTGTTTATCACTATCGCATATCACCAATATTGATAAAGTTTTAGAACTTATAAGCATAGCATATACATTTTCCATGTATGTATATGCAAAATGTGTTAATGCGTGCACAAATTCATATGGAAAGCATCAGCAGTGATGTCTACACAGAAAAAGAGAATATTTTTTAAAAATATGTTTAGTTTCAACGTGAAAATCTTGAAATGAGATTATACTGCATTAAAGGAAGAAAAACTTACTTGAATGAAGCAATTTTATATAATATTTTTAATCAAGAAAAAATATGCTTATTATTTACGAATAATTTTCTTGAATGGAAAGGAAACAATATTGGATAGAAAGTAACATTTTCAAATCGAAGATTACAATGATCAAAGTGATTTTATTGCCAAAATAATTATATGTATTCTTGAAGTGACAATTATAGTATTTAAAAAAGTGAGATAAGTAGTTAAAATAAAACAAACGATATTCTCTTTCGAGGAAGGGTTATATACAGGGTCTTACAACTTAAACTAATTCTTATTAAATTCGTTTGATTTAAATGTTCAGATGTTTAATATTTTCTTGGTAGAAAACGAGACCAGTGGCATTTTATCGGGTCGACACTTGTAGAAACGTTTTCTCGCACCAACTGTGCAAGCCGGTTTGGGCTTTGAAGTATAAACAGGCAAGAAGAAACGCAGTGTACACTCACCCCCGTAGGCGACATTTTGACGGGGAAAGTGAGGAGTCATTTGGTTTCCACTGTTTGTACATTCGAAACGGAAGTTTTTGTCAAATCACTCTGCATTTCCGCCTCCGAAGTCCTCAATACGAGAGAAAAGAAATTAGAAGAAAGAAAGGAAAAGGACTCTGGTTTTTCTACCTTGTGTAAAAAAAGCGGTTTTTTTCTGGCACTTTCTTCGAAATTTCACCTGTGAATAAGGTTGAAATAAGAAGATTAAAGAACATAATAGATCCGGAAAGATCAATTCACGAGTGTCAGATTTTTTCATGAGTAAAGACTACAAAGAAACTTACTTCTATTATAACAATCAAACTCACGTAGGGTGGTCTCCATAAAAATAATATATTTATATAGTCGGGTGCTTTTTACACATTTATTGAGATAAATGTATGGGACACCTTGTAAGAGTTATATTCTTGTCTTGTATTTATATGACAAGGTATCGCATAGCATGATATATCTTTACGCATATTTCTTTTTGTCACGTTATGTCATTTCAAATTTGACATCAAACAGCTTTTATCTTTTACAGACATTTTTTAAATTGTTGGTAGCGTCGATCATAAATGACCACCGCAGTTAACGTGTTCTAAGTAATTTATATCATTTATTATTGATTGTCATTCATATATGAATAATCGATTTTATGAAAAAATCCCGGGAAATCAAATACATTTTCTTCTTTTAATTTTTTTCTTAATTTACTTTTGCATTTAATTGTTTCTTAATGTACTTTTTATATTTTAAATGAGTGTAAAACGTTATTCTATCGCGTTTTTTTTTACTTTCTCCCTCCACTCCTAAAATAAATACTTTTCGAATGAGATTTTCGGACGCGATAGTTTCTTTTTATACATAACGACAGATAATTTCATGATTTTCTAGTGCGATACCCACCTCTCTGCGATACTACCACATTCTGGAAATCTGGTTTTTCCCCTTGTCACTGTTAATGCGGTGTCCTATGCGACTACGTCAACATATACACATATATATGTATATGTATATTTATCTTTGTGCGTGATTCACCGATGCATTTCTTTTCACCCATTTATGTTAATTCTCAATACATGTAGTTTCCTGTGTGTAGTATATTGTAATTTGTTTTCTTTATCAAATGTATTGTTAGATGAGAACAGAGAAATAAATTTCTCAACTATAATTAGTCCGCAACATCAAACGATCACATTAAAGAATGGTTTTAAAAACAAAAACATCTTTTCCTTGCACATATCTTTGTTCAGCTACAAATGAGAGTTGAAACCGAAGTTTTCTTCCGGAAATGAGATCGCGAAACCGATGTTATTCTTTAGACGAAAAAAGTTATGTCAAACATTGAATAATAAGACAATGTAACAGACGAATTCAATCACAATTAAGCTCGTAGAACTTGAGCCTTGCGTGTCAATCCTACCGCGTCCTATCGCGGTAGGCGAGGGAAACTTAATTATTTCAAGACAAACATAGCGTTGTACCGTTCACGGAATATACAGCGAACGCGATAAAGAAACCATAAAGTCGTTAATACGACCTTTACAGCAGGTAAGGCTCTCAAGATAATGTAAGACGGACAAATTCAATCACAATTAAGCTCATAGAACTTGAGGCTTGCGTGTCAATCCCACCGCGTCC